CCTAACAACACCAATAACATCTTTTACTTGACTGCAGTTAAAGCTGCAGAAATGACTGTAATTCCACGTTCCGAGGTAAACCATAGTTAGAGTGATAGTCTGGAGTTTTCTTCTAGTCTACAGTAGTCCAGGAAGTCTGGCCTTTTTTAGGAATTTGAATTTTTTATCTATGTTTTCTTTCATTTTATCTATTTTCTATTGTGTCCTTGGTCCACATGATCAGTAGTGGTAGCCGACATCAACTAAATTGTTCTGGTCTTAGGTTAAAAGAAGTTGTGATTAATGCAGGCTACTAGTCCCATGGATTAGTTTAATCTTTGAGTTTTTGATTTCCTTCATTCTCTTTTGCTTCATATGAGCAGAGAACAATAGTTATTCTTAGATGGAGATCCCAGACACTACTTACCAATCTAGGATGTAGAACATTATCCTTGTGAACTACCTTACGCCAATCTTTGATACAATTGGTCTCAGGGTACCTTACAAAAAGTCTTATCAAAACTGTGGCTTTTGAAGGACTCTACTAGGCTAGTTTAAGGCAGAGAGGCCCATTCAGGTCATGGTGAGTATTTTGGGGGATTCCCAAAAGGTAATCTTGATTTTCTTAAAGGACGTGTTTATTGGGAAGATGTCTTAAGAAGGCTGACAAGTGCACTGGCGAGAAAAAGTACAGGAAAGTGTGCTGAGGATTTTTTTCCCCTTCCAACAATGCACCCTACTCATTCTTTGAGGATAGCAAGGGATGCCCTCTGAGACTTCCCCATCAACCTTACATTGTCGGTCTTGCTCCTCCAGACTTTTTTCTGTGCCCCCAAAGCGAAGAACATTAAAAAGGAACCTAATCTGAATCCCTGGATGGTGCCAAGACTGCTGTTTTGATGTGGTATAAATTGTTTCGTGCAGAGTTCTCAGGGGAAGGATTCTTGTTGCTGTGATTTGGAACCAATTTGATGAAACCTGAAAACAACAATCAGTACTTACCAGTAATATCTGTGCAGTTTGCATTATTTAAAGGGACAAGGAGGTTTTAAAAAATATTTATATAAAATTATATTTGAATACAGCTCAGACAAGTTCTTTGCCACTGCATACAAAGCATTATTATTTTTTGCTTTCTTTTTAAAAAATCATTTTATTGGGGCTCATACAACTCTTATCAAAATCCACACATACATCAATTGTGTAAATATACCTTTGCTGCCCTCATCATTCTCAAAACACTCGCTTTCCGTTTGGGCTCCTGGAATCAGCTCATTTTTCTTTTTTTTTTTCCTCCCCCTCCCTCCCCTCTTCTCCCTCCCTGTTTTTTTGTTTTTTAATCACTAGTGAAATATCAGATAGCCCTGTATCTGAAATCGCTTTTGTTGTTAAGTGCCATCAAGTTGGTTCCGAGTCATAGCAACCCTATGTACAACAAAGCTAAGCACTGCGGGTCCTGTGCCATCCTCAGCCACTGTGCCAATCTGTCTTGTCGATAGAAAGGGTTAGAAATATGGACTGGTATAGTCACAAATGCATCACAGGATATACTGAGAAACAATTGTTTCACACTTAGATATTTTTGTTCAATAGAGGTTTCGATGATTTTGCAGCAATACTTTCAATTTCCCCTTGTATTTTGCTCACTTGTTTAAGTGAGTTTCTTTTTCTTGATCTGATTTGTTATTGTCAGCTGTCTCTGAGCCGTTAAGGTGTTGCCTTCTTTGAGTGGAGACAGTCTTCAGGAACTGTTTGGGTGTGGGATATGTGCTGTTGCATTGTGTGGACATTAGATGAGGGTACAAGGACATCGTGCTCACTGTTAGGGATCGGTGTAGCTCCCGCTATCAGGATGTGATTGCTATCAGGTGTTGCTGCTGAGGTGATGTGTCTACTTGTGGTCATTTGGGTGTAGGTGCAGGGAGTGTTCTTACTGGTCACTGGGTTTAGTGCTCTGTGTGTGGACTGCTGTTTGGCAGGTGATCAGGGCAAGAATGTACAAATCACCAGCTCCTGTGTTGGTTCATGGGGATTTACATATCAGGTCATTGGCTGAGTAGCAGGGGTAGCAGGATGGCTTAGCAGTGCTTGGAATGAGTGAGCATAAGGTTCTTGTAGCTCTGACAGTTTGTGAAGCAAGGGACTTGTGGGCATAGCTGTGAGAGGATGGACTGGGAAAGCCTCTGGTTTCAGGGCTATTAGCTATGTGGCTCCATGGGAATAGACAGGGGTAGGTGCAAGCCTCAGGCTGGAGGTCTGATAGTATGATAGTGTGTGCCCTGTGGATCACGGGTAGGACAGAGAGTAGCTCTCTGCTGGTCTCAGGGAACGAGGAGCTGAATGTGTTATCCAGTTTCTAGTGTGTATGGTAGGACATTACCTACTGAGTCAGCCAGCGATCAGGGTATAGTGGCAACTAAATATGGGGAAGGGGTGACTGACTGTTCAGAGCTTAGTCATGTGGGAAATCTCTAGCCACCACTGCAAGGATCCTCCATTTGGTTAATGCCAGCTACCCGAGTGATCAGGGACTGATGCTGGTATGTTCTAGCCTTGTGTTCTGGCTCGCCCCTTGATCTGTGGTCCCTTGCATCCCTAGGGCTCTCACCCACCTTCTTGTTCTTTCTGTTCTTAGACCCAGCTCATATTTTGCTCACTTTACTTTGCTCTGGGTTTGTCTGTATGTATCTCTGCTCCTCTGGGGAGTCTGTGGAGCTGCTTTTCTTATCCCTGATGTGGAAATGCTGCTCACTTTGTCTCATGGTGGATGCATGGAACTGGGCTGGTTAGTATGGGTCCTCCACATCATGAATCTCCTTTTCATTGTTTTCCCTTCCCTTTGGTGTTTGCTCTAATTCTCCATCCTTCTACTCGTTGTTCATGCCTAGACTGTCCGCTCTATCTGTCTGACTTTATTTCTTGGTTCTTTGGTGAAGGTGGATCAAAATATGAGGGCAGACTCTCCCCACAAAATGGAAAAAAAGCTCCACTGGGTGGAGCGTTCATAGTATGCATTTCCCCCCTAGGCGAGCATCGAGCAACTCGCTATGAGTTTATTGCACCCAGTGGCATCACTTGGGAAGGTTCCCTCTGGTCACAGTGGATTTTTTCATCAAAGCAGTTTCGCTCAAGCCTCACTTTTTGTGATGACCAATTTAAGAAAACAGCAAGCAGCTGTGAAATTTTGTTTTCTGCTTGGGAAAAATGATGTTGAATACAGCTTATAAGGACAGCACTATAGGAAAAACTCAAGTGTGCAAGTAGTTTTCTTATTTCAAAAAACGGGAAATGTCGATTGATGACAAACCTTGTTCTGGACATCCATCAACTTCCCAAATGGATGAAAATGTCGACGCAGTGCATTTGCAGTTCATTCCACCAGGTCAGACTGTTAATCAAGCTTTCTATTTAGAGGTTCTGAAAAGGTAGCATAATAGTGTGCAACAAAAAAGGCCTGATTTGTGTCAGAGAGGGTACTTGGTTTTCCCGCCATGACAGTGCACCTGCTCATGCAGCCATCTCAGTGCGCCAGTTTTTGGCAAAAAACAGCTTCCCCACGTACCATCCTCACCTGACCTCTCTCTGTGTGACTACCTTTTCTTTCTGTGAATGAAGAAGGACATGAAAAGACAGAAATTTGAAGATGTAGAAGAGGTGAAGAAAAAAACAAGGGAGGTGGTATCAGCCATCCAAACAGATGAATTTGAAAAATGTTTTCAAGAATGAAGTAGCAGATTTGACAAATGTATTAAGTGTAATGGAGAGTACTTCTAAGGTGATAAGTTTGTTTTGTAAAAAAAAAGTAAATACATAGCTTAAAAAAAATTCCAGTTCTTTTTGGGTACCCCTCTGTGTGTGTGTGTGTGTGTGTGTGTGTGTGTGTGTGTGTGTGTGACTCAGCTGTCATCTTGGGCCAACTCCACATATAGTACTTTCTTTTTCTTTTTCCTTAAAACACAAATTACTTTCTTATACTGGATTTCTTGCTCTTATAAAGAAGGCGAATATGACTTTGGAATACATAAGGCTGACTCAAAAGTTCTTTTTCTAGAATATTTATACCATATATACTCGAGTTTAAGCTGGCCCAAATATCAGCTGAAGCACCTAATTTTACCACAAAAACTGCATAAAAATGTGCTGAAAAACTCGGCTTATGCACAAGTATATATGGTACTTTTGTTGAAATCTAACTTGTAAGGGACAACCATTAGTTTTTCTTTAAATCATTTTTTCCTGTTATGTAAACTATCAATATTCTTATTTGAATTGCAAAGATGATAAGAAAATCAAACATTATAAAATATCTTTTGTTTGCTTGATTTAAGTTCCCATCTCAATTTTTAAGAACGTTTTTTATTTCTGCTTATATGGTTGCCTCATATGCCTGTGATAGGTGCACGTGGAATAAGGAAGACCAAGGAAGAATTGATACATTTGAATTATAGTGCTGGAGAGGAATAGTGGAAGTATCACGGGCTGCCAGAAGAACTAACCAATCTGTCTTGGAAGAAGCATATCCAGAATGCTCCTTAGAACTGAAGCTATAGAGAGGCACTTTGTCTCACGTACTTTGGACATGTTATCAGAAGAGTCCCTGGAAAAGGACATCATACTTGATACAGGAGAAGGCCAGTGGCAAAAAACCAAAACCAAAACCCATGATCCTCAACAAGATCTGTTGACATAGTAGCTGCAACAGTCGACTCAAACACAACGGCTGTGAGGGTGGCGTGGGACCGGGCAGTGCTTTGCTCTGTTGTACGTAGCTTTGCTAGGAGCCGGAATATATGTGACAACATCTAACAACAACAACTTACCAGAGTTTATGTTAGATATATTTCTTCAGGTATTGAATGCAATATGTCAGCAAGAATCACCCCAATTAAAATACGTCTTTGGCTTAAGTGGAATAAAAGGGATAATTTGCAATAGTTAAGTTATTATTCATTACTGACATGGCAAGTGATGTACAAAGAATACCAAAGTGTATACATTCTCATACTTTTGTTGGTTTACAGAAAATGCTGGTCAGATCTTAGGATTGCACCTCTCCATTACTCGAAGAGCTCCCTGAGTGAATTTCAATTTTTGATGAGTACATGAGGTAAGAATCCTTTGGTGAGTTGGAAGCTGGGAGAAGAAAAATTTATGCCTCAGGACTAGATATTTTAATTGTGAGTTTAGTATAGTTTGTGCTCACTTTTTTTCTTTCGTTGGCTATTTCAATTTTGACTTACCAGAAAGTAACAATTTATTATATATTTAGTTCTTGGTATAGAATATTCAATACTAGTGCGATTAGAAATAACAAACTGAAAATATTCTTTTCTCTTTTTCCTCTCTGTCATTGACCTTAAAGAGTGCTCCTATCAGTAGTCCTATGTTCAACATCCAGCGGTATTATGCTAACTTTGAATATATAATAGAACATGAAAGAAAAGTTCAATGTTCCAAGATCAAGTCCATAAGTCTGATATTAGCCCATATGCCTGATACCAGTCCTCTTCACACTCATGCAATACATGCAATGACGCTGAGTGCAGGAAGATCACAGGCCAGTGGGGGCTCATACAACTCTTACCGCAATCCATACATACATTCATCATGTCAAGCACATTTGTACATTTATTGTCATCATCATTCTCAAAACATTTTCTTCTACTTTAGCCCTTGGTATCA